TTCCTCGTTCTTTTGTTGTCCCTCAACAGTGAGTTCAACACTAAGAAAGAGTCCAGATCATTATTGCAGTGTAAACTAAAATATATGTATGGTAAGATTAACCCATCAAAGTAGAAAGGCTGAAAAAATACTGGAAACTATTACAAGCCACCTTAAGTTAAGCAAACTGTAAACCAACACTCGTCATCGCTATGATAAACTCAGTGACAACTGAAGTAAAAATTTTCTATCAAGACTCTGCTTCTTAACTTTTCCGGGGAAAATAGTTAATTTGATTTTTTTCGCTGGGCTTTCCAAGTTTTCAGGTGTAGAATTATCAAATTTACAAAACAGGATTTTTCATGGCATCGTAACCTGCATCCATGCAGTCCATTAAAGAAAAGATCATGTATACTAATTAAAGTTCGTGGCTCAAAGGAAGCAAGTTTCTTTAGAATTTAATTAAACCATCGGTAAATGTAAAGTCAGACAAATAAAGCAGATGTTAACTCCTATGTTTTCTTTGCATCATCGGGTTATTTTAATTTTTCAACGTTAATAAAGGAGATCCGTTTGTCAGTCAGAGTGATAGGACACTGTGGCTAAAACAACAGATCTCCCTTTTATGGCAAACCTTCGGCAAACCACTTGAAATTGAAAATCAGAAAATATACGACGATCGTGATTTTAATTACACATGAAGTTTCTCTCAATTGACAGTCGCAAGTGTCGAACAATGTATTTAGGATCATTTGCATTTTTAATGACGGCGATACAAGTTGATAGATGTTTTAGCTCCAGGCCACGCACTTAAAAAGCTTGAAAAGCGACTTAATTCGTGCGAACATTCCGTAAATGCACAGAGAAAATAAGTCCTCATCTATCCACAAATCTCATGGAAAAGAGCAAAGAACAAGAATATTGCGATAAATCATTTTCGATAGATTTCCTTCCCGGTAGATCATGTGAAAAAACTGCTGATTCCATTTACCTTCAAGATGTTCTTTCTTAATATCGCCACTAGTGTTTATTTAGATATCATCTTTCTAAGAAACTAACAATAATTAGTTTCGGAAATTTTTGTAACTTGTCACCTATTTCCTGAAGTTAAAGCTAGTTAAGAACCAACTTCTGGTCTGCATGTATAGATTTCCTAATTTTCATGTCTTTTATCAAATGAAAGAGAATACAAATACTTCTAACTCGTAGCTTTTTTAAAAACGGAAAATTAAAATCAGTTAGTGTTCAGAGTCTTTATCAGCAAACCAACTGCTTGGCGAGTTATCTTTCAAAACCGTCAATGATATGTATTGACATATTTGAGGAATTACTGACAAGCGCTATAAAAGGCCCACGTAGTCAGTTTTTCATTGATGTACCACTTCTTGTAGTAAGAAGCCACACTGAGAAGTTTCGACGGCAATCTAACAGATTCCGGCTTTCGGTTCAGCCACGAATAGCTATCATGCCGATAAATATGACAACAGCAAACTTAACTGGAGATGGACAGCA